TATGATATACAACTACCTACTGGGGCTTTGGGGGAAAAAAAAGGAGGAGGATTGGCAATAGATGTTAGCTCAGAGCCGGTCTTCCTCAGCAAAAAAAAAAAAGAGGAGGATTAGCATGGATGTTAGCTCAGAGCTAATCTTTCTTACTAAATAAATAAATAAATTAAATTTGCATGAGTATCAACTAAATGAATATAAATAGAGTATATATCTTCTAAACAATTGAAGAAAAAATGCAATTTAGAAAAAAGGCACAAAAGCGAAGCAAAAAGCCAAGAAAGGACAGAAAAATGAATGCAAAACATTGAGACAATGGAAAAAACCAACTGAATTGGTAGAAGTAATCTGAATATATCAATAATAATAACTGTAAATGTTCTGAGCTCTCTAGTGAAAGGCATAGATTATCAAGACTGGATTAAAAAAAATCCAACTATATGCTATTTACAAGATCACATCTAAAACATAAGGACCAGAAAAGTTTTAAGTATAACAATGGAGAATTATATACCAATCAAATCCAAACCAAAAGGAAGTTGGTATAGTTATATTATAGCAGATAAAATAAACTTAAATTTAAGGGAAAAGCATTACTAGAGTTAAAGAGTCATTATGTAATAATAAAAGTTGTAAATCACTAGGAGGAGGATTGTGATGTGCTACCCACAGCCCTCTTTAGGATTAAAGGATTTATCACCAGCTGCTGGGAGTGTCACCTGCAGATAATCTTCAACTCCAATTCCCTTAGGGAGACTGGAGCCCCCTCAACCAAGTTCACACCCTCTTCCCAGAACAGCTCAAAACAAATGACTGATAGACCAGCACAGGACACTCTGAAGGGTCAATCCATCTTCAGAATTCCTCACATGGTCAGCTCACGCTTTCCATTGAGACCACATCATGTCTTGACTTCTCTCTCTGGACAATCCTGCTTCCATCCCTTCCCTTCTAGAGATGTTGAATGCAAGAGCACTCCCTAATAAACCTCCTACATACTAATTTCTGTCTCAGAATTGGCTTCCTGGGAAACCCAACCTGTAAGAGATGATACCAGAGTGGCCCAAGAAAGCACGTGTGGGGATGGGATTTTGAAGCCGTTTACTCACACTCAGTTGGTCCCAGAGACTCCAAAACTGATGGTAGGTGAAGCACAGATAGCCCCTGGTATAAGATAGCAAGCAGTGCCATTGCTAGAACTTTCCCTGGAGGTGAATTGGAATGGTATACCCCTAGAAGGAAATGCATTAGTTTGTGTATGTTTCCAGCATTTGAGAAATATGGGAAAATAGTAATTACAAGGACAGTGGAATTGGATGGCCATTGTTAACCTCAATAGATGCTCTGGAAAAAGATAACAAAAAGCTGAGAACATTTAATTGGCAATAAAAGCTAAATGTGAAAGCCAGAGGGTCTCCTTGGTAGCATAAAACAATGCTCACCATCTACAGTGGAAGAGAAGAGAAAGCCCAACCCAGCCCCGCCAAAGCACATCTGCTACGGTAGGACCTCAAAACAACAGAGGCAGGGAGGTGGTATATATTTTTGTGGACCCAAATATAGTAAAATGAGTGGCAAGGTTGGATGTGCAGCTACAGGAGCCTGACCCACAGAGAGTTTTGGAGATGGTTAATAGAACATGGTGTCCCTAAAGGCTGAATCAAAGGGCAACCAAAAAGACATCCCTGAATCTGTACCATCAAAAGAAATCAAGGATGGACGATCAGGAGGCTGAGGGCAGTCACCCAAAAAAGTCATGACCCCTTGCCCAGCTTCTGGACATGAGCCAGTTTTTAGACTCAGAACCCATCAAAAATCAACTTTGAAGAAGTCACAAAAAGGTTTCTTCATGTTCGGTAGACTGTAAGACTACTAGTCGAGGACCAGGCCTTTCACTCAAATCAAAGCAGAAAAATATTCTTCATTTTTCTTCAATAGAGAGCAGTCAGTGCATTTGGCATCACTTTTTTGCCCTCTGGGCAACCCTAAAAGAACGTTTCTTTAGAAAACTGCTTCTGAGGTGCAGTCTGAAGGTTTATTTTAGAGGTGACCACCTGTGTGAGGTACAGGGTCATATTAAAAGGAGCTCTTTCCTTTGTCTTTGGGAGAGAGAGGCTGCCCCCATCAAAATGACATCACATTTGTGGGGCACCTGTGAAACGAGGCAGAAGTTGGCTCATGTGCAAAAGACTTTGTTTTCCTTTTTCTTTCCTATGGTAGTTAACTTGATTTCTTCTCTCCGTAAATTCTTTAATTGGTTTAATAAAATACACAACAAACTGGGTGCCCTTTTCTATTAGTTTCATTGTGAACACTTATGTAGTGAAGTTAACTAACAGAAACACTGCATTTTATGCAAAAAAGAAAATTTGAAGTTTTCAGAACAGCTAGAAAATACTTAAAAGAGGAGAAAAAATTTAGAGCGGTAGGGCTTTCTTTGATAATAATTCTCACGTTCACATTAGTTAAATAAAACCTCCCCTGGCATTCTGTAGGCAATAAAGAAAGCATAATCCTTCTTTATTTTTATTTCTGTAGCACCTGAAGTTTTTTTTTTTTTTTTTTTGAGGAAGATCAGCCCTGAGCTAACATCCATGCTAATCTTCCTCTTTTTGCTGAGGAAGACCAGCTCTGAGCTAACATCTATTGCTAATCCTCCTCCTTTTTCTCCCCAAAGCCCCAGTAGATAGTTGTATATCATAGTTGCACATCCTTCTAGTTGCTGTATGTGGGACGCGGCCTCAGCATGGCCAGAGAAGCAGTGCGTGGGTGCTTGCCTGGGATCCGAACCCTGGGCCGCCAGTAGCGGAGCACACGCACTTAACCGCTAAACCATGGGGCGGGCCCAGAAGTTTTACTAGTGGGAGTGCGAAGCTAATTTTTTAAAGGGAGAAATGAGAGAAGACTTAGTATTAACTGTTGCTGTGCCCTAAGGCTAATCGGACAGCTGGGAATTGCACCAAATTGATATAAAGTTGCAGCATTTTCCAGCAAACGCTTAATTTTTCTTTTGAGCGAGGATCTTATGTAACGATAGAAATAGGGCAGGAGTTCAGAATTTCAGATCACCTATGCGGTCAGATTTGTCACTGACCCTTCAAATCACTTCAGGTATGTTTCAGTTATCATTGAGGTAAAACTTACCAGGCGAAGGGGCACAGGGAGGAAATAGTGTAACCAGAGCCTGTTGAGTTTCACTGGGGATGAGCGCTGCCCATAGGCACTGCAGATTTAGGGGCAGCAGTCACTGCAAGGATCACCGCTTTGGAGTAGAAAGAGTGGGGGAAGAAAGATCCTGACAGCTCTCTCGACTCACTGATATCCCAGAAGGCAAGGGAGCCTGGGTGATGCAGTCATGGTGGTCAGCACCCCAGGACACACAACAGTGCAGAAAATGTGGGGCATGGCTGTTGGAAGTGGGTGGTCATATTTCTTCATTTCTTTTCATCCTGTGAGTGAGTTTTCTATTGCTGCTGTAACAAATTATCACAAACTTAGTGGCTTAGAACGACGTAAATATATTATCTTACAGTTCTTGAGGTCAAAACTCTGAAATGGGTCTCACAGGGCTAAAATCATGGTGAGTCTGCGTTCCTCCTGGAGGCTCTAGGGGAGAATCCATTTCCACGCCTTTTCCAGCTTCTAGAGGCTGCCTGTATTCCTTGACTCACGACCCCTTCCTCTGTCTTCAAAGCAAGCAATATCAGCTGAGTCCTTCTCACACTGCCATATCTCTGGTTCTCCCTCTTCTACCTCTATCTTCCACTTACAAGGACCCTTGAGATTACATTGGATCCACCTGGGTAGTCCAGGAGACTTTCTCCATTGCAAGGGATCATTGGCTTAAGAACCTTACTTCCCCTTTGCCATATAACTTCACATAGTCACAGATTCTGGGGATTAGGTCATGGACATCTTTGAGGGAGCCATTATTCTGCCTACCACACACTGTTAGTTCAGAGAAATTGCTTAGGAATGTCATGACTCTCCTTTTGTCTCACAGTGCAGCCGATAAAGGAATGACCAAAGGTTCAAGTAGTTATGCTTTTAGGATTCTCATGTACCTCCTCCCCTGGTATTTGTTACTGAATGAGGCATGAAGATGGCACTAGTGGGATGTATATTGTCACAGATCTACAAAGATTCCATTTAAACACAGCTTTGAATTAGAGAATTTATCAACTGTACCCTCAGCGGAAGTCCTTGTGATGTTTTGGGATATCTCAGGTTCTGGCCTTGGGAAAAGATCACATGATAAAACAGTTCTCTTCAACAAGTTTCCAGTCAAGTCACTAAGGAAAGACCAACCAAGATAGTGAGCAATGCATCTCCTTCTCGGGTGAGGGAGGGAAATCTACCACAGCCACTTCATATTAGTGTTCGTGCTTTCAGGGATTACAGGATTCAGATTCATTTGGGGACCAAAGAAAATGCCCATTTTCTCCCATTATCTATGTTACAGCTGACCTAAATTGATTTGATTATACACAATTCTTAAGTTCTTTTTGGTAGATAGCGGTAGCTATGGGTGCAGGTTAGCTATGCCCCCCAAACCTTGCTAATAGGTTATAATCAAAGCAAGACTTCAACTACGTTTTGCCACATCTAACAGCTATTTATTAAGTCAACATTCATTAGCAAGCTGACATGAACCATTTGATAAACCTGTTCTGAAGGCTTGATAAAATTCCAGGTCATTGTTCTCTTAAGTGCCCCCACCAAAACCACACAGTGCATGGGCAGGTCATTTAAGGTGGCTACAACATTCCAGAAGCAGCATTCTTATCACTGCCCTCAGTCAGCCAGAAATCCTCCTAAGAAAATGGGTGGATATGAGGCTGTGAATAGATCAAGCCCCACGGTCCATCCCTGAGTGGAGGCCATAGGCTGGTGCAAGATTCTTAGATCCCATTTTAAACTATTTTAGCCAATTGATGTATCTTGAATAACCCTAATTTCACCAAGAAAAGCCCATTTTTAACTCTCATTATGCTAGAAAATAGGACACTCCTCCCACTAGGTGACATTTGTTTCTGACATTTGCTATATTAGTTATCTACGCCAGGCGTGTTGAAGGAGATTGGGTTAGCCACAGCCCTTGCAGTAGCTGCCTCCAAAATTTGGCCTTTCCAGATATTCCTAACTGACCACTTGTACACTGTGCGTTCTCCATTAGGGTAACTGACTGCTTCAGAATGCAGCTCAGCTAACTGGTACATGCATCGTATCACACTGTATGTGTTGAAGTGTTCAAAACTTTATGACAGGCATCACAAAAATCAGCAGTGAGACTTTTAAAGCCACTACAGAAAATTGCAGAGCGGACTTTCTTGTTGATGAAGACAAAAGAATTTGTGGCCTGTGAAGCTGAATTTTCCCAGCTAGGGTAGGTTTACTAGACTATAAATAGGACATATGTGTAATGCGGACGCTGGTCAGTATTCGCTGAACTCGAGTACTGGGCGTGCCTCTTTCTCTAGGTGTAGCTTTAATGTAGGAATCATCCCGTACCTGTGATGAAATCAGGGGTGGGAATTTTATTTTGTTTTATTTATTTATTTTTTAATATTAAGGGGCTTTATTCTCAAGTTCTATGAGTTGCAGTCCCCTTGGTGGACTTCTTTTCCCTTAATTGAAAAAGGTGCTGAAGAGGTTAGGTGCTCAAATTTTCCAAATTCAAAGTTGATAGAAAAGAAAATTAAACCCTGTTTTACATTTTTTTCAAAATCTGCCATAAAAGGGGAAGAAGACTACAAAGTTTTGCCTAAACCTACCTACTAGTGCTAGACTCACTGTGGGAAGGGCTGTCTGAGCTTCTCCTCCCCTCCCTTCCCCCACTGACACTGACCACTGGAAGATTCAGGTTCTCGCTTTGTCCCATCTCCTCCCTCAGCCCATCCTCTCTCCTTCGGAGAAGTTGGTGGAATTTTTAAACAAACCCTATAAAGAGCATCCTTTGGACAAATTAAGACTAAAGAGTACAGCAAATGTGTCTCCTTTAGTACATGTGATATATGGAACAGTGATTGGATCTCGGACTCCAGACCACATGTGCTGCATTTGAATCCCATGTCTGCCACTTCCTGGCAGTGTCATCTAGGGAAAGTTACTAATACTATCTGCATCTCATATTCTCAAATGTAAAATGGGGATAACAAAGCACACCTACCACAAAAGTTGGCTGAGAGGAATTATGTAGATATAGATAAATAGATATAGATATAGATATAGATATAGATATAGATATAGATATAAATATAGATGTAGATGCTATAGATATATGACTTTAGAAAGTGCTGAGGGAAAAAAAAATGCCCAGCACATAGTCCTCAGTGTGTAAGTATTACCTACTGTTGTTATTATTATTTCAAAGAGTAGATTGGAGGACATGATGGTTCTTTTGGTAGGAAAGTGGACCTACTGTTACTAAACTCTAGCATTAAGGATAGTTTACCTCGCTTCCCTGAAAGTCATGGCAGGCCTGGACCAGGCCAGCCTCACCCACAGAGGGCCTACTCAGGCAACACTTGCAGCAGAGAGGCCCGGAGAATTCTCCTCCGTGTGGGGAGCTTGCCCCAAGGAGACAAAAAAAAGTAGCTGAGCTGAGCATGCCTCATTCAATTGTCTCAC